CAATGCAGTGCAGTGCAGTGCTCGCACATCATACATACAGCACTAGCATCACTGCAGCAGCTTCTCCATCGGCCACGTTGAGCGTCAGCGACAGACACATCACGGCCAGCCAATTAGCAGGACATCATCTTCACACAAACACAAACACACCCACACACACATCCACCCACCTTCCCACCCACCCACCCACCCACCCACAAAGAGAGGATACAAGTAGGCACTAATTGCTCAGTGAGGCCTTCGCGCGCGGTGTGTTGATTGGCTCAATAGACAAGAAAAACGCATGAAAAAGAGCCATACATACTCCCTTGGCCCAGACTCACAGCCATTGCGGTTATCAGCACTTGAGCAGAGGCCTGGCGAGTTCTTGTTCATCCGCCCGGCCCCCTGCCTGGTGCGGTTGCTGTTGTCCGTCTGACTCGCCGCCTTGCCGCGGCTTGCGGCGCTGCCTGAGCTCCGGCGAGATATCACCGTGATCACCGTCTGCTGGGTGGCGGCCTTTGGGCGTCTGCACCGGGGCGTCGTGTCCGAGTGACGGCGGAGAGGGGCCAAACGAGGCGGCCGAGAGGGATTCGGGAGAGGAAGCAGGCTGCTCACCTGCTCCACAGGACGGGGCGGCTTGGTCCAGTTCTTCCTCCCTGAGCTCAAGATCATCAACAGACACAGACAGACACACACGGACACACATGTTCGTTTGCTGCAGCTGCGTATGGCTCTACTGACCTCCGCTTCTCCTCAAAGCGCCTGGCGAAGTCCTGCGCTTCAGCGAGATCTCTCACCAAAAACTTGAACATTTTCATGCTCTCGTCATCCTTGAAACGGCCTCGCGCGTCCATACACTCGCACAGCCCCAGCAGCTGGCCAGGGATCAGCTTGTTGAGGTCCAGCTCACGGATCATCTGCGACTCCGAATCCATGCCCAGCTCGACCATGGCCGCATTGACCCTGTCCGCGAGAACGCTGTGGGCAGTGAGTGCATTCGCCAGGCTTCTCTGACCGTGACGTAGGGGATGCGCTCCTGCATCTCAGTATACTATGGGCCATCTCGCCCACCTCCCTCGCCCCCCCAGCCTGTGTCCACCCAGCCATCAGCAGCAGCAAAAGATGATCCTCACTTGCGACTGCCGCGGAGTGCGGCATGCGCATGGGAACCAGCTGATGAGACGACGGTAGACGACGGCGGTTCGACTCAGAATTCACTCGAATGGCTCTCTTTATCGAACAACCGAAAGCTCTGCAACGCTGCAACGCCTGTGAGAGCAGAAGCACTGCGCAGAAGGGCGATCCACTCAGCTCGCATGATGCGGCCATAAGCAGGGAGGCTTGCCGACGGCGATGCTGCCAGGAATCTTCGAAAAAGGAGCCCGTCTCCGTCTCGCCGTCTCGCCTTAATTAATTCTCGCCCACTCTCCCCCATATGTGGTTACGGGCTAAATCTGCCGCTCTTTACCTCCAATGCTTTTTCCATTTGCCCACGACTGACGACAGAGCCGCGATGGCACGAAAGGCAGCCTCTTCACGCGGCCTCAACTTCAGGGCGCGAAGGTGCTGCCAATCGGCGGCCATCGAGCCACAGGTGTTGGGTGCGCGGAGTGCGATGGATGGACGCGTCGATGAACAAATTTGACCAGACCAAGAGTCTACCTACCAGCACCCCACACTAGTTACGCTATGCGCTCTGATAATCGGTCTGATAGATGTGTGAGGTGATGACACATCTCTAAATCTAAGCATGCATCATCAGTCAGACTTCTAACTAATTGCACACACATTAGCATAACGAACGTACAGAGGGGCATCCAATCCAATCCAATCCAATCCAATTCCACACACGTAGTGTCATAACCTACCTGCACTTTAAGATGACATACGTAAGTATGACAGATATGATGTATCTGATCCGCGCTAAAACGAAACTACTCGAAGACTCGTCCGTCATGCCGACGTCATGCCTCACCACCAACAATCCCTCTCTCTCTCTCTCACTCATTGATGACATACAGACCTTCCGGGCCACCCACCCTCCCTCCCACACACCCACATCCGTGCCCAGCCCACCTTGGCCCCCGGCTGTCCTCCATGAGTGGCTTGTTGCCCCGGCCACCCACCCAACGCAGCTAGTCAAAACCTCGGGGGGGCATCGATGCGATGGATTCCACCCTCCCAATGCAATGCAATGCAGTGCAGTGCAGTGC